CCCCCCCCTACGCCTGGTGTCTTCTCTCACTTATGTTGCACCCCCCATTCTACTCACACCCTGAGCTGGTAATACAGCCGTCCTCTCTCTGTCCCTCTCAATTGCCTCCTTCTTGGACATAACCACCTCGCAATATTTCAAGAAGGCCCTCTTCCCGTCTTCCCTTCTCAAAGCCGCAACGATCGACTTCCAGTCGAGATTTAGTCCTAGAACGTCCTTGCAACGCATTCCTTTCTATCGTCCATGCTGGGCAGTATCGGAGCGTGTGCCTCGCGGAGTCAACCTCCGCTCCACAGCTCCAGCATTCTGGCGTGAGCTCCCTCCCGATGCGACACAGGTACTGTCCGAAACAACCATGTCCCGTCAGGACCTGCGTCGCCCGGAAGGAGAGCCCCACCTTCGCCTCTAGCCAGCCCTCCAGCTGATCTTGGATGGCTCCAATGATGACATCCTCCTCTGATATCTGGTCCTTCAGCCAAGTCTTCCACTTTTTGACCAGATTCCTTTTGGTCGCCTCCCTGATGCCCTCGATGGTGGCCTTAGGTACCGGGATGTTATTCGGAGTATTCCTCCTTATGTCAGTAATCCTAGCATACGCTTCCTCTTGTCTCCTGGCCTCCAACTCAAGAGGTGGCATCCCTGCCAGCACGGAGTTGGCAATCCAGGAGGTCGTCCTATAGGCACGGATGAGCCTACCAGCCATCCTTCTCTGAGTTTGCCTGATAGTTTGCAAGCATTTCCTATTCCTATGTATTTCGTACGCCCACACAGGAGCACCGTATAGGGCCATTGATGCTACGACTTGAGCATACAGCCTTCTTGCTCTGTTGTCCGGACCTCCCAGGTTCGGGAGAAGCCTGCTGAGGTTGAAGGCTGCTTTCTCCAATCTTGGTGATAGACTGGAGAAGTGCGCCTCAAAATTCCACTTGCTGTCCAGCACTAATCCTAGGTATTTCATGTTTATACCAACGTGTACTGTCGTTCCTGCAACCCTCAGGTTTGTGTGAGCGGGTCTGCCTCTATCATAGGCCTCCTCCCAGTCCTCTCCAGTCGTTAGAATAAGGGTATCATCTGCATAGCAGATTACCATGCTTTCAAGTGGGAGTTCCCTCTTTTCCATGATTGCGTTGAAGCCGATATTCCACAAGAGTGGACCGAGGATAGACCCCTGCGGCACCCCCCTTTCCACTGACTTGCGTCCCTCTGTGCCGTCATTTTTACCGAAGGACAGTTTCCTGTCCTCTAGGTAGCTCCTGATTACTCCTGAGATACAGGGGAACCTTATGTTTTCGCAGGGCCTTTCCGATACTGTTCCAAGGCAACGTGTTAAACGCGTTCTTAATATCTAAAGATACTCCGACTACCTTATTGCCACTGACAAACGCCTCCTCCATAAATGTCCTAGCTGCGTTGATGGCGTCTATTGTGGACCTTCCCTTTCTGAAACCGAATTGCATGGGGTTCAGATTTGGTCCTCTTTCATCTAAGTGCCTGACGATTCTGTCGGCGATGATTCGCTCAAGGAGTTTTGCCTCATCGTCTAGAAGACAGATTGGTCGGAAGCCCGATGGTTGGTCGTCAGGCTTTCCTGCTTTCCTTAGAAGCACCAGTTTGGCGTTCTTCCAGACCCTAGGGAAGTATCCTTGCTTGAGGCATTGAGAAAATAGCCTAATTAATTCGCCCGCCATTACGTTCACAGCAAGGGCCCAGGCTTTCGATGGTATCCCACTGGGACCCGGTGCTGCGTTTTTGCTTTTCATCCTGCTGACTGCATGCAAGAGTTCCTCGTGGGAGACTTCTAGTTCAGCGTTCCATGCTGTAACCCCAACCAGAGGTATATCCGGTTCTTGCCATTCAGATCCCATTCCTACTGTTGGTGGAAACAGCCCAGTGAGTACCCGCTCCAGGATCCCTTCCTCGAGGCATTCGGTATGAGGGGGCGACCACCTCCTCAGTTTCCCGAGTACCAGTTTATATGGGCGCTCCCACGGATCCTCGTTTAGGGACAGAACAAAATCTTCCCACGCTTTTGCCTTGGCCTTTCTTATGGCTTTGCCAAGTCTATCCCTGGCCAGTCTGAAGTTCAAGAGGCTAATTTGGATTTCCGCCTCATTTGGTTGAGCCGTCCTTCTCCTGTTTCTTCTTAACCGCCTTCTCGCCTTCGTGAGTTCCATACGTAACAACGCCAGCTCTTCCGTCCACCAGGGCATGGCCCTACGTGGTCTCGGTGTGGTTCTGGGCATGGAAGCATCACATACCTCTACCATTGCCCTCTGAATGAATCTAGTCTGCTCCTCCGTATCTTCCACCACTTGTTCCCTCCTTGGCCATATGCTTGCCATAATTGCAGCAAGAAGCATGTCTTCGTCCATTCTTCTTGTGGCCCATCTTTGAGCTTTGGGAAGTTTTCTTTTATGTATCTGCTCACCCGTGGGGCTCAGAGTTATCTCTAGGTATCGGTAGTCGGATTTCGATTCCCGTTTAGAGACCGTCCAATTGACAACTCTTCTTGCGGCAATCGGGTTGGCGAACGTGACATCCACGATCGATTCCCCATGTGTTGTAATACACGTACTCGTGTCCTCGATTCAAGCAGCACATACCCATGGCACTGGCCCATTCTGCGATTAATGTTCCCCGTGGATTGGTGTTCCTGGAGTTCCACATTAGCGACTTGGCATTGAAGTCACCTCCAATGATCATGGGTCTATCCATATGTCTTATAGCCCATCTCTCTAGCTCCTCTAATGCTTCCTCGCATTGGGGTATGTCGAGTCTTGGAGGCAGGTATACCCCAACTACCAACATATCTCCCCATCTAATAGTGGTAAAGTGCTCTCCTCTGTCATATGGAGTGCAC